GAGGGACTTTGCAGAAAACGAAGCGTTTGAGAGAGGCGGGGCGTAGAGGACCTGCAATAATGTACAGTATTTTAAAAGTAATGTGTTTTTTGAACATTAAAGCATGTCAACATATTCTGTTACACCAAATACACCAAATAATGATCTTTAAAATAGCATCATATGACCCCTTTAAGTAAAAATATAATGCATGAGTAATATAGTGCATATATTTATCAAAGTGCTTTTCTCTCATTTGTTTCTCTAGTTATTTTTCAGGTTTTCTCTGGGTCTTAAATCAGAGCAGAAAGTCTGACTTAAATTCATAAATAAATTAATATCCTCATCAGTATTTAAATTTTTCAATGCATATATTTAAGCATCCTTAAATCGACATTTACTTCAATGCATTTACTTGAGATGTAAACGTAAGTAAATGTAATTAAAATGAAGTCTTGAAAAAAACTGAACATAATTTAATTCACGTTCAATTGAAATGCACTCGGCCTGTTTGTTAAAACAAAAGCACATGTCTGTCAATGGGGAATGAAAACTTGTTTTCCCTTTGAATTAAGTTGATTTTTCTGAGCCCAGATATTTGTTTGTGATTTAATCATAAACTCACTTCATTTTGATTAATTTCTCAAAAAACAAGACTTCTTATTTTGTCATTTTGCTTCTTCAGTAAATGCATCTTGATTTAAGAATCTTTAGACATTTGCGCTGGAAAACAAGACAGAAATACTGAGGACGAGCATGATTTTTTTGCAGTGTGATCAGAAGGTACGGTAAAATTAATTTCCATTTCTAGTGCTTTGGGAGCAGAGCTAGTCAAGCCTAAAGGTATTTTTATTTTTTGTAAAATGAGTTTAGAAGTAATGGTGATCTGTTGGAAGTTGTATTTTCAAACTTTTAAGTGTTGCTAATCTAGGGCTGTCAAAATGACTGAAAAACTAAATTGAATTTTCTACTTAAATATAATCAAAATTCGAATTATATTTCAGTGAGGGGGGAAAAAAGCTTTTGGCTTCTCTCCTGAGGCCACAAGAGGGCGCATCGAGCAAAATATTATGCACATTTCTTCAAAGCGTAATAAAATAACACGACTATCTTTGAAAAAAAGTGCATAATGTTTACAATAATGTTTATAAACCATATATAATTAATAAAGTTGCTTAAACAATTAGAAAAAAAAACAGCACCATGCATGTATGTATAGTTTAATACAAAGGACCGAAAACCAATCACAAAGA